TCAAACAGTTTGGAAACAAGAGCGGAAAAAATTTCGAAAATTGGTGGTTTCAGGGCGCGACCACCGCCCCTCAAAGGGTTAAACCATGAAATTCAGTTCAGTAGCAATGTCCCAAAATAATTTTAAAATGAGCATATCTTTAGTATTTCCGATACACAGTTCCGCACGCTGGAGATAAAAAAGTTTTCCCCCCTCCGTAGAATGTTGCGACATTGCTATTGAATTAAATTTTATGGTTTAAGTGCAAAGAAAATGATTTTTAATAAATAAATAAATAAAATTATAATTTAATAATTAATAAATAAATAAAATGATGATTCATGAAAAAAATTAATAAATAAAATAAAATGATAATTAAATTATAATTAATAAATAAAGGTAGCACACAAAATCGTTAAAAAAATGCTTGAACATAAATTAAAATCTGAAACATTTCAGATTTTTTGTGGTGTTTTTTTTTGTTTTAATTTAGATGAAAGGTTAATTTCATATAATACTTTTTTATTATTATAATTTATGTAAAAAAAGGTAAACATAACTGAATGGAAGCATAAGAGTAAATAACTATTTCAGATTTGGCGCGCTGTTTAAATGGGCGCGTTTGCTAGATTTGGCGCTTTTGCGCATACATTTTCACTGCAATTTTTTTAGATCCTCAAAACGGAATAGTACCCAAATAGCCACCATATAAAACTTATCCAAACTTTTAAATTTTTGATAATCCTAAAACTATTGCATGCAGATTAACTAAACGCATAAAAATCCTAACCGGAATATAGCAAAAAATGCACAATTTATCAAACATATAAGAATAAAAATATAGAGCTAATGGATCCAGGTAACAGAGTGGAAATATATATGCATACGTTCAGCATACGTTTGGTGTGGCCAATTGCAATGAAAAAGGGAAGTGCACAGCTAGATGCATTGTCCAGGCATGCCTTTATACCTTTACAAAGCTTTAAGAACAGCTTCTATTCCCAGCTTTTAGAAAATTCTCGTCAAAGCATAATTTTACCATTAGATAAAGGTGCTATGATCGCGAAATTGATAAAAGTGCATACTGCTGTGATGAAAAGCCTCAAGACTTGGAAAGGCTGATTGCATATACAATACCATGGGCCACGAAGGCAGAATTACATAATCACGGTACAGAAGAGGCTAATAGTTTTGTTTTGTGCAACACAAAGCTGTAATGGGTGCTACAAAATATTTATGTAGACACATGGCTAGATTTTGGTATGATCAACAAAATACTTGAAGCAATAGCTAAATTTTAAATAACAAAACCTTTAATTTAACCTCTTACACATTAAATTAACATCAACTATAACTGTCCCGGAGGAAAAAGGGCAACCAAGCGTGCTGAATCTCTGTTGCGGTTGCAGTTAGAAATATGGGCACACAGTTGGCAAGTAAACAAAAATTCACCTAGAATCCCCACATTCTGCATAAATTTGAAAATTTCTGCCCTTTACCATGCTTCAGAATTTCTCAATCGTTTAATAAATTGAAAATAATTCTCTGTCACATGCGGACCACTCTGTTAACTTTTATTGCGTTACATAGAGAAAAATGTTATAGGTTCTTGAGACAATTGCATAAAAGTGTCACTTATTGCGACGTCTGAAGCATCTACTCCGACCTCAGATGTTTAACTGGGCTCCGGAAGAATAGGTTTGCTAAAAGGTAGCCTAAGGAATGGCATTTTAATTTCAATCTAACTGTTCAGACGAATCCCTATACCAGAATAAGATTTACTCGTATTTTTAATAATACATATTTCTTACAATTTTTAAAGCACAGAGAATGAGAATGTGTGCTACTTTAGTCTGTAAATGTCTTCAGCAATTTTTAAACACCTAAAAATTGCTGAAGGTGAGTAAGGGTGGTTGATTGAGTGAAATCTAAAACAAAAATTACATTGTCAAGAAGAGATTCAATTCCATTTTCAAAAAGATGAAAACCTAAAAAATAAATAGGCTGTTTGACTAAAGGTGCATTTTGGAACATTTATGCAAAGTCTACATTCCTAGAGCTTTCAAATGCCTGAAGTATTCCTCAGTATCCTTAGAGGCTATAAGAATCGCCGATGAAGGCTTACACGCCTTCTAAATTTAGTGTGACTTCATCTATAAAACTCTGAAGTCGTGGATGCGTTGTACAGTACAAAGTCTGAAATTCGGACCTCAAAGCCACAAACTTTTTTTTTTTTTTTTTAATTAAAGCTTTACGCATGTGCATTTGATTTTTCCTTCCATAATAAAACATTTGTGGAGATTTTCACTTAAAAATTCAGATTCTTAAATTTCACTCACACACTAAATAAAATACCCTTTATGGAAAAACAATAATGTAAGCATAAATTTGGCTCCATACTCGAGTATCTACTTGGCATACATCTCAAACCGAAACATTTACCTATTTTAGATCCCTGATGCCAACCTGGTGAGTCATTATTTATTATATTTTGCTTTCATCACCGCATGTTTATCAATACATGACAGCTTCAGTAATAACTCATGCTGTGATGTCTAAATTTTTTTCATATTAGTAATTGAATAACAGAGTATGGCAACCTTTTATGCTAACATTACACTTGGCGATGATTATAGATTTTTTAAATGCTGTAAGAAATGTTGACGAAGAAAAATTCAACAAAAATTTCTTTTCATATGCTAAAAATAGATTTTGTTAATGAAACTCCTAGACCAAATTTAGTGCTATTCTAATTAAGAATAACTGATATGTTATTCATTATAAAGCCAGCAGCGGCGGCAGAATATGTCGGCACTGGACGGCAGAATTTAGGGAAGACAAAAAATTTTTGGAATTTGGGGAAGCACCGAGTGGCAAAACTAAGGAATGAGAAGTTTTTATGATTTAGGGAAAGCACTGGGATCCAAAGTTTAGGCACGGTGAAAATTTAGAACTTAGGAAAGCGCTTTGTAACAGAATTTAGGACCCGTAGACTGCACCAGGCGATATCGAGCGCCGGCTCTAGATAAAGCCTTAAGTATATGTGGGAGTTTATTTATTCAGGACTTGGATTAGTTTGAAGCATGTGCAAGAAATAAACGCAGGTATAGTAAATAATTAAACTAATACAATTCTGGCTTAATTCAGTACGCAATAGGAGTAAGACAAATTTAGCGAAACTTGGCTTTCATTGCCAATCTTGTGAAATACGGCCAATAATGTATAACGGACACTATTAAGCTAGGCTAAAATTATCTTTACTGATTCTAAGGCATTTCAATTAATGTAGCAGACTGCGCTGCACCCTGATCTTCTAATTTGATCCAGCTTATTATTTTCTGCAGACTGTTATTATTACTGCAATTTTATAAATTAAGCTTGAACTTTAAATTATGTCAAAAAGAGTTTTCAAAGGATCTACAAAGCGAAACCATGTTTCGATATTCATTAAACAAAAAGTGGAATTGCTGCAAAAAATGGATAAAGGCATATCTGTCTCAAATTATACAAGAAGTATGGCATTGGAAAGTCCACTGTATATGACACAAGAAAAAAGAACTTTTTGAATTTTTTGTGGAAGCATCTTACATTACTTACATTGAAAACATTACAGAAACTTACATTGAAAGAAATGTTTAATAAAGGAAACAAATAAAAGCTTTTTTTTTTTTTGTAAATTTTGATACCCTTTAGATCATAATTGTTCTTTATTTCATAAATTACGATTTTATATTTTTAATTGTATAATTTCTGCATGCCATCTTACCAGATTTAAATTGATGATCTATTATCCGGAAAAATCCCAAATCCGGAATTGCCGAAGATCCCGACCAGTCCAGATTTTGGACTTTGTACTGTATAAGCCAAATTGCACACAGGTGCCTTCAAACAGAATGGGGTACATATAATATACCTATAGTAAATATACCTTAATAAGGTCTTTACATGTTCTGCCAACATAAGGCACTGCATCGAATGGGTCCTAAATTTGGCAAGGGGTGTGCCCCCAGTCAAAAGCTCCCAACCACTGCTACCTCCTGGGCATGCAGGGTCACCACTCCCGGTTCTTAGGTTTCATAGTGGCTAACCTAGTTATTTGACTGATCATCAATATGCTGCCCACCAGTACTACACAGCCTTCCTGTCACTTCAGAACATTACCTTGTAAACTCAGTGCCCTCCCACATCTAGCCTCTAAGCTACAGAACCATCAAGTCTATAACAGTCTTACCCCCCCCCCAGAGGTCAAACCCTATAAAAGATCCAACCCCGAGTTCTTGAATTGCCAGGTTCATGAATGATATACCCTGTGGCCGAGAATGCCTAGGTACAGATCCTAGTCAGTAGCTTTGCAGAGTTCTCTATGTTGACCCCCGAGGGGGGAACTTTTTCTTCGAGCAAGCCCAAGCCTGCTAGCTTGGAGTTAACCTGCTTGGCTACTGATAGTATACCTTAATAAGGTCAACATGATTAAAAATTTTAGTCAAGACAGTATTGTGATCGGTATTGCATAAAGAACGGTATTGTGATATGATTTGACATTAAGCATCCGAAATGGAATTGCTAAGCTTTTTTAAGAGAGGTTTTTAATTTCATTTAAGGAGATGTAAATTCTCACTGTATTGCTGAAGCAATAAGAATCAACAAAAATTTAACATTCAAGTTATGTTAAGTTTTTTTTATTTATTCCTTTAATTTTAGTTCCCAGAGTACTGTATAAAAGCAAACATAGACTTCATAAAATTCTGTAATTTAATAGATATTTATAAAATTGATTTTCTTAGTTATGCTTAAATTATTTTATTAATATTGTTAACATATTCATTCATTTATTCAAAATTACTATATTTATTTCCAATAAAATTTAAATAAAGAACAAGTATATAAAAACACTTTTCATTTGTTTGCAGGACTTTTAACAATACTTTAATTAATAACATAACACGATTCTGCATATTTATCACATATGACATTTGAATGTAAAAATTATGTGATTATATTTTCATAAATAAATTCGAACAACTTGTAGAAAATATTTATTTTTATACATTAAAATAATACAAGTTAGAAAGTATTCCTAAATTATGTTACCCTATATATAAAATTATTATATAAACATAAATTACTTTTATACACTCAAATATAACAGGAAACACTTTTCTTTGTCCAGTTGGGGGAGGGAACTTCTACTAAAAAGTAATTTCAAGATTACAAAATAATCATCTTTAAATTACTGGGTTGATTTAGCAGACTTTAACAAAATGTGGTACTTATATTAATAGTAATCACTCAAGATGTTGTAGCAAACAGTAAGTCTGCTACTACTTTTATTTCTGCCATTAAGAGATGATATGATTGTTTTGCTGCATCTATGCATGTCAAAAAATAACATTAATATAAAAAAACGCAAAAATACATTTTTTATCTTATTTTCTTCATTTACTAAATATGCAATCTTCATATATGTTCTGCATCAATTTTTCATTATTAATATTATCAATCAAATTTTTATTGCCATTTTTTATAATTACAACTCATTATTACATTCTTCTGCTATATACACAGCAGTTCATATTTTATTATTCAATATGCACACAAACTGCATTAGTTAAATCACTGAAACATTTATATATTTAATATTGATAATGTATATAAAAAACGTGAAATCACAAAAAGGTTTTTTTCAACAACAAACAAGCAACAAATTAAAAACAATAAAACTAGCAAAAAAACCTTTCTGAAGGTTTACTGTAAATGTTACTACTTAAAATCTACTTAAAAGTATTTATGCACACTACATAAAATTCCTAACAAATTGTATATTAACTCATTAAAACTACTAAAAAACAATTTTGTAACAATACCATTAAAACATTCTGTAAAATTATAAACAGACAAGAATGAAATAAAAAGTAAATAAAATCATCACAAAAAGAATGTTACATATTTAAAATACTAAATCAGTCAATTAATAGAGCCCGTAGTGCATATGACATCACAGCTTTCTTCAGTGCCACCATCCTCTATGGAAAAAAAAAAAGAAATCAGAAATGAAGGAATCTTATTCAATACCCTTATTTCACTCATTTAATTTAATTTATTTATTTTCACTCAATCAATTTATTCACTTATTTCACTCATAAAAAGCTGTAAAACATGTAATGCATAAAAAGCTAAACAAATGTATTAAAAGCTGTAAAATATATACCGTACAGTAACTCTTCATTAATTCAAAGTTTCTTGTCCCCACTTTGCAGCATTTTCACACAGAATGCTTTCAAGCAATATTTTTCTTTTAACCTTCATGCGTTTTCACATGCTCTTACTTTGCCCACACTCAGTCAGTTGCTGAACATCTGCATAACACATAGAGATGCATAGAGAAGAAAACTGTATATTGTGCTTCTACGATAATACTTTTTATACTTCTAAATATCTGTCCTCGAAATTTTACCCAAACTTTTCCTCTTGAAGAGGCCCAATAGCAGTCAAGTAGTTAAGACTACTGAGCACAGATAGTTCAATCCGAACTGAAACTCCAGTCAATGGACAAGCTGCATGGATGTTTTCGAGGTCTCCACATCTTCAATATACATATGAAGTAGTTTTCTTAGAAAGGTCTTCCACAAAAGCTTTCCTTTCCTCAGGCAGACAGTCATCCTTTCTCTGCCATGCTTGAATGATCTAACCTAAATCTTTCTTCAGAGGTGTTCATTTGCCAAATTCTCCCCTTTCTAAGAAAAGGAGCAAACAAAGAGCTATTCTCCTAAAATATGGGGTCTTCAACCTTTCACAACCGAGGGCCACATCAATAAATATGGGCCACATGTCTGTCAGAAAATTTATATAAAAAAGGGAGGTTTGTTTTGCAAGACTACAATTGTTTCTAAGCAACAGAGAGTGTTACAGACAGTAACAGTGAGACAGTGTTACAGATTTGTATATATATACATTGGTTCCAAAAAGTCAAATAGAAATCTCCTCTTTCAAAATCTTTATTTGAAATGCATTGTATATAATTATTTTAATTCCAGTGGAATTCTTATTTAGCAACTGACTTTCCCATAGGATTAATTTTGTCTCAAAAAGCTTTCCCAAAGTAATAAAGATTTTGAACAAGTAGATCTTTTCCTAGTAAGCAATAGTTCAAATCATTGAGATGACCTGTAATATCGACAAGAAATGCAAACTCTCTAAACCATTCCTCATCACTAAACTCGTGAATAGATTTCCCTTTAGATTCCATGAATTGTTGAACTTCGCTCTTCAAAAGAAAACAGGCACTAAAGCATCTTTCCTCGGCTCAACCAACATACTTCTGCTTAATACACAACATCACCATATTCAGGCTTCCAAATCACTCAAGAACTGCTGAAATTGCCTGTGATTAAGTCCTTTAGACCGGATGAAATTAACCACTTTTACAACAACACTCAACACATGTTCAAAGTTTGAGAACTTCTTGCATAAATTTTCTTGGTGGATGATGCAGTGGAAAGTCATCATAGTATTATTTCCACCTGCCTTCACATCGGATTTGAGTTATGTTGTTACTCCTATTTTCTCTCCAGTCACAGATTTAGTACCATTGCATGTATTACTGAAGTCTAATTCGAATTTACCCAAAGTTTGTATCAGACTCGAATACAAATCTGTTCCTTGTGTTGTACCTTTAAGTGCAACGACATTGGCTAATTCCTCTATAATTGTGAAGTCTCTATCAATGTCACAAATAAAAATGGCTACCTATGTAGTATCTGTTGCATGTGTTGATTCATCTTCATCCATCGCTACAGAATAAAACTGAAATTTGTTGCATTTGGATTTTAATTTATTGAATATATCTGTTGCGAGCTCCTCTATGCGTCTCGCTACTGTCACACCAGACAAGATAATATTCGATGACTTGAGCCTGCGATGCACAAAACACATCAACTGCACTCTAAAGACATTCTTTTACAACTTACTCCATCAGCAAAAGGTTTTCCATGCTTAGCAATATTTTCTGCTATCATGTAACTAACACAAACACTGTTTTCAGATTCTTTACTCGCTGTAATAAAGAAAGACTTCTGAAACTTTAGTTTTGATATTAATTCACTCACTTCTTAATTCACTTCGAAAATGATCTCCAATGCAGAACATTTCTCACTGTGCTTAGTATCATAATGTCTCTTAATGTTGTATTCCTTCATCACAGCTACACTGTCCAGGCATACTGCCTTACGCTTATGTACAACAAAAAATAAAGATTTGACCACTTTTCTTGGGGAAAAAAAAAATTGCACTTTTCCTTAAATTTTTCTTTTTTTTTGTTACCATGGCTTGCCATTGTGTACACATTCAAAGACCATAAACATTCTGAATTTTAGAATGTGGATTGAGCATGAGTAACCTAGCTTAAAATCAACTGTACAAAATCTGCTTATCACCAAATCAAACAGGATGTTTACGATCATCGTTTCCTTTGACAACTGATGGCAACATTATGAGAAATATAATTCTATTAATTTATTCTCCTTCTCCTCCACAGTAACGACACGCTCAAGGTCATCTTTGGCAAAGTATTAACGAAAGATTGACATCTGTTGCAAACCTGTTAGAGATAAGAATCTACCCTTTTTATGGAATTGCGATTTTATGCGTAGTCAAATTTTTTCTTTTTAAAATTACATAAGGTAAAGTGAAATTTTTGAAAAATTCATCATATTCTGAAAATTTTATCTCAAATACTATCAGGCATGTCAATAAAATGTTTCAAATATCAAGAATAAGAGAAAGATAAAGTTTTTTTTTTTTAATAACAAAAAGCTGACAAAACAAATTTTCTTGAAATCAGAATTTCTTAAAATTCTTCAATCTTTCTTCAAATTCAAATGTGGGGCCACTAAAATGCCTTCAGTGGGCCACTCGTGGCTTGCGGGCCATAGTAAACACAAATGAAGTCCACATCCTACACATCAACTTCACAATAATGACCTTTATACCATTAGTGGTGCTACCACACTGAAAATTTCAAAATTATTATATGTGAACAGTATGTATCCAATTAGTTAAACTATGCAGTAAACTAAAATTTGTGTTTTGATTTGATTTATGAAACTAAATATGAGTATGTTGCCAAATGGCAACTACATGCATTTAAGGGTTAATCATTTTTGAGTTATGTGAGATATATCCATAAATACTGATATCACAAAAAAAAAAAAATCTCTTCTGAATCTAGTTTACAATAAAATACACAAAAACTCAAAGCACCTTCACTAAAACTGTCAAATACAGAAAAATCTAAACACCAAATACAGTTAAAAACAGTTAAAAAAAGAAATTTTTACAATTAAAATTAGTTTCTGCACAAGAACAAGCAATTCGGTCAGCAGGCAGGAGACGAAATTTTCGATACAACTGAAACGTTAACTTTTGATTATAATGGACAAAATGACACTGAAATTGGTGCAAAAACTGACTTAATTCACTACTCTACTAAGAGTTTCAAATGTAAACAAATGGCAGCTTTGTTAGGCTTCACTTACAACTTAAACTTTCATATGGTTGATAACTCTATGGCTATTTATGCAGATTAACTAAAGATATAAACTCCTTAACTGGAACATGAGAAAAACATAATTTAATCCCTTTTAAAGCAAAAAAATGTAGAATTAACAACACAGAAGAATTAAAAACAAAAGCTCATCGCAACAGGCAACAGAGTGTGAATTTGTTTACATATGTTTATACATGTTTGGTGTAGTTGTTGATTGCAATGAAAGAAGTTGCAGAACATGCATATCCCATATCCAAAATTTCAATGTTCTATGGCTACTCGTTTTTGAGTTAAGCAAGATACATACAAACATATGTACGTACATACGTACGGACATGAAGAAAAAAAATCTCTAATGAATCCATTTTTGCAAAAAGAGTACATGCAGATGTCACGCAAAAACATCATTCAAACAGATTCTATAGTAGTCAAAATGGAAATTTTCATTGAAATACCTGACATTTTTTTATGATTACAATAATTCATTTAATTCACACAAGGAAGTAAAAATGGTTCACACTTTTTTGCTCACACACGGCTTACTTTGAAGGATGCAAGAGTAACTACACATGTTTCTTTAAAAAACATTTTGTTGAACACTTAATTGAGCCTTAATCATGAGTTAAAAAAACATGCCAAATAATAATTTTTGGATGATTTAAAGCAACAAAAATCAGGGTAATATTCATAAATTGGCAGTTTTAGTTTTGAAGATTTAAATACAGAGCCTTCTTCAGCTGCAAAAGTACAAAATGAAATGCACTTTTTTCCCCCCACTTTTGCAGCTAAAGAAGAAGGTTCTGTATTTAAATCTACAAAACTAGTCATGCAAATGTATGAATATTATGCTGATTCTTGTTCCTTCAAGTACTCCAGTAATTCCTAGACTTACTTTTTCTCAAATCACTATTCTATAGATGATTTCTGATATTTGTTATGAACAGTTAAAAATTGCCTCTACAATATTTCATAATGTTTGCGGGTGATTCCATTTGGTTACAGGTGACACAGAAGTTTAGAGATGCCCAGTTTGTGCAATTCTTTAATATTTTTAAATGTGTACATTATTTATAAATGTGTACATTGGAAGAACAATAGTACAAAAAAGAATTTCTTGAAAAAGGTTAGTGTTTTATTGATTTATTATTAATATTATTATTTTATTTTTGCTTTTTAAAGTTTTATTGATTGAATGCTATTTTATGGAATTCTAGAACTGAAATTCTGGGGAAAAAAATTCTGAATTCTGTACCTGTCAGTTCGACAAGATTGTTAATGCAACTGATAGTTAATAACCAATTTCATATTTTAGAAAATTGAATATTTGAGGGAGATTTGCAGGGAGGGTTAATCAAATTATCTAATTTTAGTAACGAAATTAAACAAACCTATTTTTGACTTAATTTCAGGACTGATGATGTGTTCAGGACTGTTGCTACTGGTATAGCAGCATATTTCAGAAAGGATAGCAATTTACAACAATAAATTATTATTTTTTTTTTTACAATTTCCACCTCATTTTAACAAAACTGCAGTAGTTCAAAACAGCTTATGAAAATCTATGCAATTTTAACAGGCATAATTTACAAATTCGTTTAAAAAATGAAATATATAATGCTTTAAATCAATGACATGTAACCTGCAGAGAGTATCATCTATTATATGGAAACTGTTGAAGTTTACTCATCTTTTATTAGTCTTATTTCTATGCTTAAAGAATCGTGTATTTATAAATTTTCGCATGTATAATTACAAAAAAAAAAAAAAAAAAAAAAAATCCCAACCAATCACTTAAAATTAATAGCAAATTTTACTACTCATAATTTAGAGCTAACTCCTCTCTTTTAACTGTTGTAGAAGTGATTCCTTAGAATACTTTCCTTAAAAGTTTCAGTTTCCACTTCTTTTCTGTCCTGATATTTGGACAAGAACAACAAAATTAAACATTATTTCATAGAACATAGAATATGTAAAAATCTCTTAAAATTTTGTTTTTAAGAAAAAAAGTAATAAATTTCTATTTTGGCTACTATTGTGTTTCTAATACAAATCAATACAATTTTTTAAATATTAAATAAAAATATCACATAAAAATGCATTACCATTTTCCATGCTTTTATATATAGTGATAATCTTTTTCCGTGTAAAGTAAAGGTACCTGTAAATACAAAATGGAATTTAAAATTGAAATATAAAACTATTATATGTTTCAATTAAAAAAAATCAAGACATAAAATTCTAATTAATTTCTTTCCTAAAATTTCAGTCTTTTATTAAATACAAAAACACTTTAGATATTTCTGGACAAAAGCAAAATGTCTGTGGAAAATAATAATTAAAAGGTATCGACAAAATGTAGTTTTGCTCATACATTTCCTTTCTTCTTTTATAAATCAGAATTTATTTAGATGAGTCATATGAGCAAAATAATAATAAAATACAGAAGATGCATTACTTCAAATGAAAATTCAATACATGGGTAATGTACATTGCTAAAAGAAAATTATTATAAAATATTGAAAAAGCGATTATTTTTATTAAAATATCTATCTGATATGCATTAAATTATATAAAACTATTTAAACATTTAAGTTAACTATTCTAAATGTTATCCTATTATTTAAAAAATGTTAGTATTTTACTTAAATTTTAGATATTTTCATAAATTCCAACTTGCAGCAAGACTTATCAGTAGTCAATGCGCGAACGTTATTTTTACAACTTTAAAATAGCGTATGTAAGGCATATGTTTTGATTAATCATTAATTGTAATCAATTTAATTACATTTAAAATCTACCTGTAGATAAAACTGAATAATTAAAAATATTGTTACGAAATGTCCAGCCATGGTCAGATAGCTTTCCCACAAAGCAAGTTTAGGGTTGCCGGAAAATGGCAAGGGACGGCAGGCTTGCCGCATTTGGCAAGAAATTGCTCGTTTGGCGGCAATATTTGCTATATGCCATAGACAGATGGAGAACATTCTGGAATGAATTCTTAGTGTTTTAGCCCAGAATGTTCTCAACCATAAGTCAGAAAGCTACTGTTAGTATGTGGAGAGTCAGTCAGTGCGGAGTTAGAAAGTCCATCGAGTTGATAGTCAGTGAGTGTCAAGTTGGTCGTTGAGTGTACTGAAAGAGTCTCTTAGAGTATCACGAGTTAGTGCATCATCGAGTAGAGTGTGTTGAGCTCCGGGAATGACTGAACCGAGGAGTCGGGAAAAGAACATACAGGAAGAAAATAATGTAACAATATATTTTGTAAATTATATGCACATTTAATTAGAAATTTTTTTCTCAATTTAACGCCTCAGCATATATATCACTATATCTGCTAATATATGATCGATGCAAGTATTTTAAATCACTACTAATCATAGAAAAAATCAGAATCCATAAATCATATATCTTTATTCTGGATTTGATTTCAACAGGGAAATAAAATTTTTAAAAAATTAGACAACCAAGACTGACATATAACCATTAAAAAAATACCTATAATTAATTTATAAATTATGAATGCAAAAATTTATATGTAGCATGCTTAGCAAGCTTAAGTTCTCATTTTGAGATTTTTTTTTATAACACAGTTCTTCATTTGCCTGCATATTTATTTTTTCAATCAAAACTGTTTCATAAGTAATTTTTTTTAATAACAGAAAAAATTTTCTCACAAGCTGCACTTAAATGAAATATTATTCAGACAGCAAGCATTACAATAGGCAATACTCTGTATTTAATACACCCATTCATATCTCTTAATTTGGCAATTTCTAGCAATGCTATATCAATACGCAAATCTAACAATTTCTTTCAAATCATCTACTTAATACATAGAAAACTCAGTTTCCCCCTGATTAATATATTTTTCATCAATAATGGATAGGGAAGTATTCATCAAGAAAAGAACAGATGAAAATGAAATTTCAATTCTCAAGTTGATATCAGCAACTTCAGCATATTTTAGAAATGGATCACTTAGTGGACATTTATGTATTATATATGAGCATGCAGTTACAAAAAAAGCTCACACAGAATTGAAAAATAATTTCACTTCATTTTCATTCAATTTGGCATTTAAAAAATATAATCTTGTTTCTGCATCAGTCACTAAATTTTCATTTTGTTTACTACACTTCTGAAATGGAATAGATGTTAGAGTAACATCTTCATTCTCTTAACCCCTTAACTGCCGTGGGCGTATATATACGCCTTGCTCAGCCGATGCGTTAACTGCCCCAGGCGTATATATACGTCCTTCCAAACTGCTATCATTTGCTTTGCGCTGCTACACCTAAAATTATTCGCAAAGTTAACGCATCGGCTGCGCATCTGGGGCAGTTAACGCATCGGCTGAGCAAGGCATATATATAAGCCTGCGGCAGTTAAGGGGTTAAGAAATTACTGATGGTTTTACAAATCTAACAAATAAATTCATTAAAAGTTTAACAAGTTCTCTTCTCAATTTATGTAAATAAGGAGCTTGTTGCTACACATTAATATTTATTGCTATAAACAAAGACAAAGTATTTTTCAAAAATAATAAGCACAGTTTGGTGGTATTTGGCAGTTTGGTTTTTTTTATTTTTATGTTTTGCAATCTCTTTCCTCCATTATCACTGTTATCTGGTTGATAACAAAAAATAAAAAAAATAATAATCAGAACATCCTACTGTTCTAAAATCCTTGTTACAGAATCTAAAAGAGACAACCATCTTGTACTGCAGTATTTCAAAATTTTACAATATTTTGCATTCTGTCCCAAAATTTGTTGAGCAACTCCAAAGCTGTGCTTCCATTTCCAACATTTCTCCAAATAAAAATATATATCTATTAACAATATTTTGATTTCTGAGCCAATTAATTTTTCAGTAGCTTTTTTCGCAATTATATGCAAGAGGTGGCATGTGCAACCTTGGATGATTAAATTTCATTTGGTTGATGCATTTTGATAAATGATGTTACAGAAAAAATTTCATTTTCCTATCATATTACTAGAGCATTATCTGAAAAAAAATGATAAGCAGTTTTTCCATTCTAAACCTTTGCTTTTAAAGTTTTCATTTATACAATTAAAAATACCTTCTCTGCATTCTAAAATGGAAATCAATGAAATAATTCCCCCCCCCTTTGCTATAATATGTTACAAGGAAAGGGTACAGTTTGTTATCATTTACTTCCATCAGTACTTACAGAAAATGATGAATTGCACAATGATTTTATAATATCAGCAACAGTACTTTCTGCAAGCATTTACACAATTACAGCAATTTTAGTATACAGTTTGCTATCATTTACTTCCATCAGTACTTACAGAAAATGATGCATTGCACACTGATTTTATAATATCAGCAACAGTACTTTCTGCAAGCATTTACACAATAACAGCAATTTTAGTATAACTGCAGCTAAATTTTTATGCTATAGCAGAATCTAGAAACATTGCTTTGAAAAGCTGTTTGGAATGATCCAAAACTAAAATCGGTAGACTTTTGTTCAATTAAAAATCGAACAAAATAGTATTCAGCTTTTATAGCATCTATTTTAGCATTTTATGTTAGCATCTGTTTTATAGCATTTTACAGTGCCAATTTCTTTATGCTTTTGAGAAAAAATATGCCGTTTACAGTCATCCTTTCCGCCATTTTCTATGAAATGTTGCATAAAAGCAATGTATATTTAAATGTTGAATTCTGTCTAATTTGAAATTGGCATACTCATCTTTTGTATATATTGTGGTAAATATGAAAGGCTTCAAAAATAATTCACCAGCAAAAGAAAAAATGCTTAGAAACATCTCAAGATTTCTGATCTAGGGTAAATATTGAAGGACTACAAACCAAATTTAATTAAAAAGTCAGAAAGTAATTTGGAAGTTATTTCCAGCTGTATTAACAAACTCAAAACAAGGGAGAGTTTTTTTCATGTTGCTTAGTCTTTTGAAACTTAAATTATTGGTTCTTAGTTTTTTTTATTAAAAACAATACCCACAGAAAAACCATTTAGCCCTAACCTTGCCAACTAGTGCTTTGCTGTCAATATTAAGTATTTTATTTAAAATAAAATATATATTATTTTAATATTAAATTGTATCCCCCAATCATTTTCTCTATTTCAATTTGGTGTTCATAATTCTGATTATATCTTTATCCTGATAACAAGAAAGGTGATTTAAAAGATATTTTATAAATTTCATTAGCCTTGCCATTTGAAAATTGAATTCTTTCTTTTCTACCCTGTCAAGAATGAGTAGTAAATATATATTTTAGCAGTACAATTTAATGAAACCACTACAATGAGAGAAAAAAACATTCTTCCTTTCTAAGCATTTAATATTTATTCCTCACTATCTGCTTTAATTTGAAAACTTCATTTGCTCTTGTGACGAACTCTATTTTTGTTGTTATGAGAACTTTTAGCAAATTTATTTATTAAGAAACTTCTATTTGTAACAGATGATATTTTTCTCTTCAAAACAGTTAAAACAATCCTCTTCTCAATAATTTTTTCTCTGTTCCCATGTTTTCACATTCTATACACACTAATTTTTCTCATCTATTACAGTTTAATCTTTATATATCCTACATGAGATCTGAATTCTTAAGAAATTTACTGGCTTCTCTCGTTATTCAACGCAGTTTAATATTCATAAAATTTATAGTATTTGCTATGAACTTTCATGTTAAAGAATACAAATATTCTCTCAGAAAAGTATAGACAAGAATATTTTTTAGTATTTTATTGTTAGTCATTAATTTTTATCTTAGACATTAGTGGAGGGTACTTTCTTCAAATGGTAAAATTAATTCTTTTAAAATCTTTTACATTACACATTATATGCCATATTTAGTTAATGATTTTGTTCTAGTCATCATTACCTTCAAATGGTACAATTCATTCCCTTAAAATTTTTTATATTATACAACATGTCGTGTAGTTAACGATTTTGATTCTAGTCATCATTACACAAGAATATTACCATACTTAAGTTCAGAATTATCTTTTTATCATTTATTTTGCTTTAATTCTTTTTTTCTTTTTCTCATATTCTCCCCCCCCCTCCTTTGCTTCAGTAATTATATTTAAGACCAGAATTATAATATTATTTGCTCCTTAAGAACATTCTCTAAATCTACTCAGGTGTTAATAGTTATTAAATTGTAGTATAGGCAAGACTGAGTACTTTCATTAAATTTAAAATGAATGTTTCATATTTTCGCATAAACATATGCTTTCAGTAGCAACATGTAACACTTCTGCTTTAGAAAACTTTTTTATCCATAAATCATGAAACTATTTATTTGCATTTAATTATTTTGACTGAAAATATATGGGATTTTACAAATTATAGAAAATGATATCTTACAAGATAATAATTAATGCCAAAGCTTGCATTGCAGCAACAACTTCAAAGCTCAGTCCACGAAAAGAAGATGCATTAAATATTGTACCTAAAATTAGTGAGCCTAGCAAGTAACATAGGTTCTGCAGTATGGTCATGAAAGCAAAGATAGAACCTGTAGATAAAAAATACACATATATAAAAACATGAAGCGTGAAAACTAACAAAAAGAATTTCAATATAAACAATAACAATAGGAACTGAACAATACAACTGGAAAAAAAAAAGGGGGGGCAATGCTGCATGCCTAGTGTTTCACCATTCAGCTTATAGTAAAATTTCAACTTCATTTTTTGTGCTTCAAAGCATACCTAGAAAAATAATACGTTCCATAATAACAATATAAAATTTGGTTTGAAATACAAAAAGAAATTTCCTATCATTAAATAAAAAATATTGATTAGATAGAAATGCCATTCCCAATTTTAAATACTTCTTATTTTAAATTTAGTAAACCAGATTTTAGTCAGGATATATTAATTTTCTAATTTACTATAGCTTTTATTGTGTTTCTTGCACTTCGGCAAGAAGTTTGCCTGGTCACTATGGTGATAATCACAGTTACAGATATGATTTGTGGACAATGGGTCCAAGGATTTGCATGTATGTACCAAAAGATATCATGGTTTCAAGAGTATCTTGTTCTAAAGTGAAGTTTTTAGTATACTTTTTTAATTTAATTCTTTTTACTTTCTAGCATGAAGTAAAGGGAGTGTTGCAATAGTGAGAAATTTGGGTTATCAAATTTCAACAGAAATATCCATTTTGACCATCCCAAATACATTTTGATTATTTTTTTGCATGTATGTATGGGCAGAATGAAGAACTTTAGTCGAAAACAGACAGTAAAATGGATTTTTTCATGGTGTCTGTATAGATGCACATATGTATCTCACATGACTCAGACAATTATCCAAAAACATTGAAATTTTGTATATTGGACTGCTACAGCATCTAGGTGTCCACCTTTGTTTCTTATAGCAATCAACTTGGTGTGCTATTTTAACTCATATACTGAATGCTGTGCACTTAAAATTTTGAGAATTTTTTTTACACATATGAATTAAGTTATAATTTTACAAGGACATTATTTTACTCCTAATGTTTTCAAGATACCTTCATTAATCAACATAGTTAATTGGGAATTCAGTGTAAAATAACAATGCATGTCATGAACTTGCCTCTTTCACCAGCATCTACAGTTTTTGATAGAATGGAACGTAGGGCAGGTATAGGAAACTCAGAAAACATATACAGGGCAGCACCTAAAAAAATATCAAATTATCAAAAGCTCTGTATTTGAAATCACTGTATTTGAAATGCATAATTTGAAATTACAAGACATTTTATAAAAAAATATCAAGTTACCAAAAGCATAACACAGTATTTGAAATTACAAGACACTTTTATCAAACAGCACTGTTCTTAAATTTTATTACTTCTTTCAATGTTATTTTTTTTATTACTTCAATTTTAATTTTTTGAATTTATTTTCTCTTAATACCCTTGCTTAAGTATTATATGCAAGTATTATATGCTTAAGTATTAGTTCTATTATTACATGTTTCAGAACCCTGTGATTTTAACATGCTTAAGATTATGTCGAATACACATAAGATAAATAAAATATTTTATATATATTATAAAACTAAGTTTGTAAGAGATGCTTAACACTTTTGTATCTAATGCAGAAAGCTGTAATTGAAAAGTATGCTATTATTAAAATAAATAATTTGAAAATACAGAACAATTTTATCAGACAGCATTAATTTTAAAATTTATTGATAATTTTTTTAGTAATAACACAGTAAAAGTAACCCAAATTTGTTAAATTTTCAATTATAATAAATTTAACAAATATTTTAATTAAAATTAATCACTCAGCACACTTCTTTTACATGTACCAGACAACACAAAATCTCAAATTACAATGTTTTTGAGGTATTGCAACTTACTTCACTTTTACCTACCATCTTTTTTTAATTCAAATTCTCCAAATTCATTTTTTATAAAAGTAAACACACATTACTCATTTGTATTTTATTTCTGTGTTTGCAAGTCTCTAGTTTCGGACCCTCATGTTGTAATTTTGACAAGTTTAAAATAACTAAATCACAAAACTAATGTAATATGTTAAGAGCACTATAAGTTCTAATTTATACATTGCTCAACATTTCTATGCCTACAAGTAGTTTATCTACCATAGTTTAGTACTTTGTGAGAAAAGATTTATTCTGATATTTGAATTAAAATTTTAATGATGTTATCATGAAAAATATATTGGCTTTTTTAAAAATATTTCTGCTAATGTTCAATACATGGTATGTAAAAAAATATTACTAGAGAAGTTAGTCAATATACACTAAAGGGCCATTACATTATGACCACCATTAGCCCTCAAAACTGTCAGCACCCTGCGTGGCACTGACACCACAAGGTGCTGATAGGTAGTCTAAGGTATTTGATATCACACACTCACCAACTAGTCCCGCAATTTCTGCACAATGTGGCAGCAGATATTTGATTTTCCAGGTGGGACCACAAATGGTCTATTAGATTAATATCAGGGGAATTTGGAGGTCAAGACATGACTTGAAAGGTACTGGAATGTTCCTCGAACCACTTGCTGATGATTCAATCCTTATGATATGGTGCATTATACTATTGGTAAACAGCATTACTTGCCGGAAATACTATTGTCATGAATGGGTGATCCTGGTCTGCAATGATGTCCACGTAGCGCACAGACGTCAGGGATTGTTCTATGAGGATATAATACCCCGCCACCAGCTTGCCTCCATCCAACTGTGAATCCCGGAGCCAGGGATTCTTTTGAAAATTAGCGGCATATTTGCAGATGCCTGTCAGAAAACGTAATTTGTTGGACCATGCAACTTTCTTCTAGTGTCCAATTCTGATATTTCCTGGCCCACTGCAGATGCAGCTGGCGATGACATGCAGTCAGTGCAGGGACATGCTTCAGCCTCCGGCTGCATAGGCTCATATGCAGCAATGTATGCTGCATAGTGTGTTGAGAAATACTCTTTGGGTCTCCACTGTTGTAGCTTTTTGATCACAGCGAACAGTGCACAGCAATCTCGTCTCTTCCCTGGAATCAATGCGCTGTCAACAATACACTGCCGGCCGTTGACTTATCCTTTCACCATCCATATACCACTTTCAATATGTGCTCACAACAACTGCACATGACCAGCCCATTAAACGTGCCATTTCTGATACTGATGTTCCCAGTGGCCGAGCCATAACAATTTGGCTTTTATTGAAGTCTGATACATCAGCTGCTTTTCCCATTATGTCGCTAATCGTGCTATGTTTGGAAAGGACAATGCAGAGCCGTTTTATATACTCCAACAACAGTCGTGCAGGCACAGTGGTTTCGTTAACAGAGGGTGGTCATAATGTACTGGTTCTTCTGGTGTATATAAATTAACCCTCTGAGCGTTACAGGATTTTAGATCCATCATGAAGACCGATATTTAAATAGCATTTATTAATTGAGTTTGCATAATTACTTATTTTAGTCTGTATTTTCACAAACTCACATTAACTTTTAACTGTCAAGTAATTTTGATGATTTGGGTGCATAAATTGTCAATTTTTTTTTTTTTTTTTTTTTATTTTAAAAATGAAATGTTTGCCTCACAGTCAAAAAATCAAAAAATGCCGCGCACTTTGAACTTTATATTCTAACCTTTGAAACCTTCAGTAAAATACTGCCATCTGTTGAACTGAAGTCGAAATAAACTTCTCATGATATATTTTCGGGTATAACAATACGATGCACTCAAAAAAAAATTAGCCTGAGTAATATTTGGGCATGACATTTTGGAATACCAGTGCTGTGCCCGAGATTATTTCGGGCATGACAGTTAAAAGGTTAATTAAGATGACATTTGCATTATTAAAGAAAGTCAGAAAGCAAAATATCTTAAATTATAAGGTAATATATGCCAAGTAGCAAAACTTCTGATAATCAGATAAAGCCAGTCATAATGCTCAGAGGGTTAAAAGCATTAAAACACTTTTAAATTGCCATCATGTTTATTTGTAGGTTTTTAGTTCAATGTTTGATTGCAATCCTTCTAAGTTTTTTTTTAATTTATTATTTTAGCACTTATGTACTATCGCAATCACCTTAGTAGAATAGCCAAATTTTCAGAAAGTACCAAACTCTTGTAAGCAGGCACATAATGACTCATTAGGCAACTATGCCCATAACTTCAACAAGCAAGGTCGCCATCTTCGCACACGTTCATTTTACTATATTCCAATGGCTTTTAAAACCAAATTGTGATATTTTTTGCTTTAAACTTAATTTCAAAACATGTGCTTATGGAATTTGCCAGCAATAGAAAAAACTGAAATAAAATTTCTTCCAAGAATACAGAACCTTGACACAAAATCTCAAAACGAAACAACAAGGAGATACATTTGGTAGATAGCCGATGTTACCGCATTTGCCAAATGCCATATTTCCGCACTTCTCTGATTTTTTTTAAAAAAATTTTTAAAGTGTTTTTTAAGCGTTTTTGTGGAGAATAGAGCAAAAAAATTACAAAGAGATTTCGAGAAAAATTTATCTTATTTTTTAAAGTTGGTATTTTAAATTACTAAAGTATGTTTCCTTCCCATATGTTGATAATATTTGCTAACTTACAATAAATATTGATAGTCTGGGAATCTAAAAACAAATTTCATAAAAAACACCAACTTCTTGGTAAGTAACTTTTATTTTTTCATCTGCAAAAAGTTGTCAAATTGCACCAAGGCAGTTGCGTTAATATGTAAGTACCATTTTTTTTTTTCTTAACATTAAATTTAGGCATAATTATTATGCCACTTCCAATTTATATGCCGTCTTGATATCATTTACATATCTCTATTAGTAATAAATGAATTATGACTATCTCTCACAATTTCATCAATATTTTATTCAAGAATATAAAATTTAGGTAAAATCCTAGTATACGGTGCAGCCTTGGCACGATTTTGAAAATTATTGCCAACACCAAAAATGATCCAAAGACCGTCTATGTATATAGACTATACACTATATATTATCACTACATACATAGTATATACTATGTATAACCATATATATTCTTTGAATGACCTGTTTACTACTTATTGTATATGTTTCGTTTTTACTGCTCATCATAAAGTCGCCAAAAGAAGCCAAATCCCGTATGCACCGGATACTAGGATTAAACCAAAATTTATTAATAGCAAGTAAATACTAAAGAATATACTTACAACTGTACACCATTGCATCATTTGTACTTAAGCCATAGACCATGTAACCTGCCATTCTAGAAAAAAGGCCAAGAATAGCAACAAAATGATCAGAGACATGGAGAAAATGAATAATGAGAGGTAATCCAAAAAGCAATGCAACTCCTTCCACAATGAACTGAACTGAATAATAATGACTATACTTTGAAAACTCCCACTCGAGATTTTTCACATAAAGATAGCCTAGGATTGTTTGTACTGAAATTAAATAAAAAGCAAAAATTGCTAATTAATTTTTGCCCAAACACAGACTTTCCTTTTTAAACAATTAAACCATATAAAATTTATATTACATGTTATATATTAAACAAATTAACAATTATGTAAAATACAGAGAATTATAATATTAATTCTAAACACTAGCTATTTGGTGCCATCATGACATTTCAATTGTGTAAGTTAATATAGATTTTTTACATTTTAAAATCAGATACAATATGTTTTTCATGTATAAAGGTTAAAATAGATTTTAAAGATATATAATTCAAATACAGAATTTATTAGTTTATTTGCTAAATTGACATTTATGAAAGAAATAACTATCTATTCTTAAAAGTGATTTGAATATTAGTAAATGATCACAGCAAAAAATATATATAAAAGATGAGTAAAACTGTTAAAGAGGGAAATGAAGTGAATGATCAAAATACATAATTAAAATTATACCGGAAATAACAAATGCTGTTCAAGGAACTTGGAACCATAATATGTTATTTACAAATCTTAGCCCCTTGAGGAATTTGGCCCATCAATAAAATCTGCTCCATCAGTAAAAGCTTACCTTTAGTGCACAAGAATCTACATAAAAATAATTGCTAAGTGAGTGATGGTAATAGTGTAAGCATAAATCTATATAGCAATGAAGAAGCAGATAAAGTAAAATGCAGATTAAACATGAATCTAAAAGTGCTAAAAAATATTTAGCAGAAGAAAATTTCAGAATTGCTTCAAATGTTAATCTTTATCAGCACTGCACTAGTAAGCATGGCATCAATAATGTTCCTGCGTTCATCATTCAATAATGTTCACATATTTTTAGAGCTCTGTATGACTTCTTCCCTCTTGTAGAGTTGGTATTTGGTTAGAGTTCATTGAAGAGTACCTTTTGTTATTACTGCGAAGTTGTTGTTTCATTTATGGTAATCTGAGTTGTTGAAATGTTATGGAAACCCTATTGTGATGTAATCAGTTGCATGATTCTGGGAAATTTAAATCATGGGATGTTTTGTAAGGGCTTTTGTGGTGTGTGGTGGTTAGGAAGTACATTGGTTATTTTTGTTTACATGGGTAGAATGGCTGAATGTAGTAAGATTAATTTGAAGTTTCTGTATGATTTGGAACGAAAGGGGAAAAGAGCATTAATTGACTGGTGTATAAATGAAGGTTTACTTAGTAGCCATTATAAGTGTCCTGTATGTAGGAAGGAAATGCGTCTGGTCGAATGTAAAGACCGTTCAGATGGATTTCTAGGAAGAAAGGTTCAGATGGTCACTATGTGAAACGTTTGATCAGAAAGGGAACGGGAGCTCATATTAACAATATTGAAGGTATACGGAGTGTGGTGAAAAGAGATTTTTGCAAGAAGTGTCCTCGACAAAGTGTGTAGTGCAAAAATTAATTTCCATTTTTATGTTACTATTTCATTGTTTGATTTAAAATGTAGTTTATTGAGATTATATATTTTTTTATGGGCTGCTCCTTTGACTTTTCATGTGAATATAGTTTGATGTGTACATGGTCAAAGTCAAACAATGTCAAGTTTGTGCAATTCTCTGAGGTTTTTTAAGTGAAAACAGGTCGATGTGTACATGATACACTAAGTTCGTGCAATTCTTTGTTTTGTTATTTTGGCTTTATGCGGCTGGTGATTTTTGGTAAATAAAAAATTGCACAAACTCGATATCCATGTACTGCCAATTTTCGCCAAGGGGTACCCATAAATATATTTTAAACTTTTTTTTAATTTTAAAAACTATTAGTAGTTAGAAATGTGTAAATGTTAATAAAGTTCAACTGTTACATTCAATCAGCTTGTAGTAATTAGATCAGAATCAATCAAACAGCTTTCATTTTTTTTAGATGCTATTTTTACTTTATAAAATTAAGTAGAAAGGTTTCCCCCTCAGACTTAATTTAAAAAGTTTTAATTTGTTTTTCATGCTTTTGTAATAATAATTTTTTAAAACAGAAGTATCATAGTAATATTTCATAAACGTTCATGTACCTTTATCTAATATTTATCCAGTAAGTGTACGAATTCACATAAATCTTAAAATGTGATCTATCAGTAAATTTTCTCAATGATAAACTGGTGAATTCCTTACACCAAAACACTGAAACTGCTTAAGGAAAAAATTGTGTCCGATCACGAATTTTTGGATGGGAAGTGGCACATATTTACACTATGCCTGGAGAAAACTAATATAATAACATTAACACTTCAGTTCAAAATCCCATTCAAATAACATTGGACAAACAAAGTTAATGTATTTAAAATTTACGGTAGTGCTTTTTCACTTTGAGTAACAATTAAAATTGTATTTCATACACACAGAAAACTATTTCTTACCAACTGATCCAAAATAAATAAAGAACAATGCCAAGAATATAAGCAGAATGCACTTTCTCTTGTCTGAATCTCTTCGTCGGAAAACCACTTTAAAAGAGTCCTTTGCATATTTCAGATTAAAAACTTCTTTGAAAGATGCTGAAGTATTTAAGCTTTGATCCTGTAATGTCCATCTAGGTATCCGCAACACTACATATATTACTATAATGGCAGCTATGATAAGTTCAAGAAAAAATAACTGAGCAAAACTGTTAAGTATAAAGTGCAATTTTTCATTTGAAAGCAAAGCACCAGCTATATGTATCCCACATGTACCTCCTATAAAAATCATTGCTTCTAAAACCACTATTCGCTTTGTTCTAGATTCTTCACGAGTTATATCTGAAATGAATCCAAAAGTGGCTGCAATTACACCTACTGAGCCAAATGACAATCCTGAAACAACAGCACTTATAAAAAAGTATGCAACATGAGTGTTTATGTATACAGACAGTACAAAATTAATGCAAGATGCTATTATAGTTCCTATTGGCGGAATCAACATCGTAATTTTACGACCATATCGATCACTCCATGAAGCAACATAAAAACTTATTAAAAATGTAGATAAAAATAAAAAACAACCATAATATTTAACCCATTTAGTAGTTTCGTTTAGTAGCTCCTTCTGGCTGTCTTTCAAAACATGGCTACATAATGTTTCGTTCACCGGATAATGATGCAGACATAATTTAACATAAATCAATTCCTGCAAAGCATTTGTTTCTAAAAATATTATCATCATATACAAAAACAAAACCGGCTCCACAGTTATTAGTTTTATTTTAGATTTAATGAAATCGCATAATGAAGTATCCATCTTGATAAAATACTAATGAAATATTATAAATTCAAACTAACTTTTAAGTCGAAGACCAAATTTAAAACATACAATAAAATACAGAAAGTAATGTTTCGTTAGGTATCATTCATTAGTATATTACCGCACTACCGGTTAATCACAACAGTAATATACACAGGTATCCTGACAAACATTTCATCTAACTCCTCTATTAAATACGTAACTGTTTTCTCCCCTTTCTTTAGTAAATGTTCCGTCTTAATTATTTCAATTTTTTTTCGATGATGTGGAGGTAACTGCAATTATGTTACAAAGTTACTCCGTAAACAAAACTCCTTGGCCTTGTTCCAACTCAAAACATTTACGTCGGCGCTTTACTGCAGATCCGCTTGTACATATCGTTCCTCAAAATACTGCTCACGTAAATCAAGAATTTCACGCACATATATCAAGTTGTTGATACAGATCCAACCTTGAACACCATAAACAATGACCGGTAAAAAATTTTATCCACATGATAACCACCGTTACCAGTATTTTAGACAAATGTAATATGTCTTGTTTTGCACCCACTAAGTCTTTCTGCACCGATAGGCGAAAAATCAAGCATAGGTGCGAAGGAAAGGGGGGGCAATTTCGTATTTCAAAGGAGAATAAAAAAGAACTTCGTACATTTTGTACTAGTTCGAAAGGCCTAGGTTAATGCTAGTTTAACGCACTGATGCACACTGTTATTTATATAAGCTCATAGTTCTAAAAATTTATTTACGCCAATGAAGAATAATCCATCCCTTACATTTGGACATTTAACAGATAGCAAGGAACAGTATGAGAAAAAAAAATCGGTGAGGTATAATATTACTAAAAATATATTTTAAGCAATCTAAAAAAATGGAAACCAAAAGATCCGAGAGGGAAGTAGCGCGATGCCCCAAATCTCCAATTTTCTCTCTCACGAGAATCCTCAAAACAAGATAAGGGAGGGCTTTGTAGGTGGTGACAGGCGTGAACTGATAACGTTGGCGTCTGTTTGGAATTGTAACCACAAAGGAAGCCACAAGCAATGAGCAATTTCAAGTATTGTTTAATGCTAAAAACAGATGAAAAATTAAAATTTATTGATTTAAAGGCACTAGTAATTTGATTTAGTTTAGATAAAAGAAGGGTACTTATCCTAAAATTCCAGGCTTTCGTAGTATATCCTCACATTGCCCGCTGTTTCATTCTCATCAACATCGGAGCTGAAAATCTTAGAAAAAACACTATTTCAAAGTAATTTAATTAATAATCACGAAGGAATGTTTTTCACTTTTTACCAGAGCCCTGCGAAAGTCCAGCCGCTTGCCTCGGTTATCGCAGAGACCTCCTCGCGAAGGCACTTCTTGCCAAAGAAACTTAAATTCATTTGTGGTTGCGGCTAGTGTGAATTACAGTCAAAAATCGTTAATCCGGACTCGTCGGGACTTCGGCGATTCCGGATTATCGATTTTTCCGGATTATAGATCATCAGTTTAAATCTCGTAAGATGGCATGCAGAAATTCTAAAATTAAAAGTATGAAACCGTAATTTATGAAATAAAGAACAATTATGATCTAAAGGGTATCAAAATTTGCAAAAAGCTTAATATTTATTTGTTTACTTTATTAAACATTTCTTTCAATGTAAGTTGTTTAAGTTTTGCTTCGTTTCATGTGATAATACTTTCTCTTTAATTCTATTAAACAGACATAATTTCTTGTTCAAAGTTCCGCTGTTCAAGTCCTATAATTGCTGTGTCGAGAATACTGACTAATTTGTCAATCGAAATTTTTTCGTTTTCAATAACCTCTGTTACTTTCTTCGCTATCGGAAGCGAATTATAATGACGAGGAACTTGTTTTAAATCATATCAAAGGCGGAGCACATCGAGATGAATACTACTACATTGATAAGGAATTAAAGCCAAATAAAATAAAAACATCTGCCCTGAAGATAAGGATAGTGCTGACAGATCAACTTCCAATTCATTACGCGTCCGCCGCGGCGTTCTCCCCGCCGAGCAGCGTGAAATTGATAAACAGATTTCGGATTTCAAAACATACTTTCGCTTTAGATCATTTACATATTAACAAATATATATCGGAAATTCTATTTGATATAATCGAAAGTTTAAACTTACTTTCATAAAATTGCTTTTACAGTCTGCAAAAAATAATAAGTCGGATCCAATTCGAAAATTAAGGAACAACGCAATCATCAACATTAACTGAAATAGATAATTATTTAGCTTATACGTCCATTATACATAAAACGCGCACGCGAAAACGTATTCTGCACATGCGCACACTCATATGCGCAGTCGTAAAAGGTCTTACGCGCACGCGTAAACGCCTATGCGCATGTGTCAACGCGGCGCATGCGCAGAAAGTTTTTAGTTTTGAGGTCCGGATTATAGATCATTCCGAATTATGGGTGTCCGAATTAACGACTTTTGACTGTACTGAGAACTAGTACTTTACTTATTAGTGTGAATTTACTGACTTTGCAGCTCAGATTTCCAGGTCAGGCCATTCAAAGTTCTGAACAATTTAGGGCACACCTACGCTGCTCACCCGAAGGCGAAAATAAAAGTTCATGATATTCATGTCAGGCATTCAAGTCCAGTTAGAAAAAGTTAAAAGTTCGTGTGAGAGCAGGAAATAAAGTGTAGGTCGAGGGATCAAGTCCTTGAGCTTTGTCTCCTAAAATACCTGCATTGCTTTGTACCCATATCTAGTCATCTTTAGCACTGAATTTCAGAGTCCTAGTCTTCCCTTTCTGCGAATCTGACTAAAATAATTGCACTTGAAAGCCGGCTTTGAGTTTTTCAGCTGTAGTTTTTGCTGCCTTGTTCTTCTTATGTGGCAATCATGGATCATGAATATGTGGGCAAAATTAGTTTATTTTATTATCTTTCAACCTTGATAAGGCATCTGTTATGTCCTCAGGTGTGGGCTTGATTTTTCCTTTCAGTTTCTGACTGTGCAGAGGTTTTTATATGCCTTCCTTACTGGTTCCGAGGGGTTTATCATCGCTGGGAAGTTTTCTTGGTTATTTTCGGGAGCTGCAGGCTTGGAGGTCAGTTTTTTTCCTCGAATCTTTGCTTGTAGGCACTGCAACTACGATAACTGCTGAGATGGTCATCTTGGAAAAAAATGCAGTTTAGTATTACCTCAGGTTTTAATGGTCAGACTTTGCTTCGGTGGGAGTTTCCGCACTTGCAGCACCGCTCAGGTATATTATAATAATATTGGGAGTGTCCAAACTCCTAACACCCGAAACACTGGGCCAGCCGTTTCTTTGGAGAATAATTTTCAATAGCCATATTTAAACTAAACAAACTGTTTAATTTATGAATTGCACTTCTTTCAGCAGTTTTCCTCAACTCCAGTAAAACGATGGATAGTTTCTTGAATTTGTTTTCCGCGTTGGGTTGAACTGCTTTATCTTTAACATGGGGAATTTTCTTCATTCTAAGTCCTTAAGTATGGCTTCTGAATTTTCTTCATTCTAAGTCCTTAAGTATGGCTTCTGAATTTTCTTCATTCTAAGTCCTTAAGTATGGCTTCTTTGAATGAAGATGGTAACTTTTTCATAACTACACGAATAGGTTTTTCACTTTGAAGTTGGAAAGAGTGGAACTGCACTTTTTTTTTAAATAGTCTCTTCATGGTTCCGAAGTCCAGCGATTTTTCGTATAAAAGAAAATTGATCTTGCCTTCATTTGGGATTCGTATTCCTCTGTACAGTATTCGCGGAAAAGTTCACCAATTTTCATTCAATCCATAGAATCATGGGGAAATACAGTCGGCAGGGGGCGTTTTTGCTTGCATCGCTCCTCCCTCTTCCTTTTCTGCCGATTGGGATTCAAGCGTCTGGAAACGGTTTTCTTGAGTAATTTCCACAGTAATTGTGATTTAAGGTATATTTTTCTTTTTGGGGGATATCCATCCTTGTTCTTTCTCTTTTTCAGTTGATAGGGTTGGGGCCTCTGTACGGGGTTTCTTAAACACTTTATCATCATTGATCTAGTTGCAAGCCTTGAGCAACTTCACTGCCTCATCAGCTCCATATTTCTTAATTATCGTCTTCATCACTTCCATTTTGCGCTCTCGGACTCTTGGCAGGACAGGATAACATTCTGTCCGGAATCTGATTTCGCTCTGGAAGACTTTTCCCTTTTCCTTTCCTCGTATTCAGTCGATCTGGGTTTTTCAAGAATTATATTGAATTGGAAGAGAAATATGCCAATGAAAAAATTTACAATCGGGCAAAAAAGTCAAACTTAGATTAACAAGTATTTTGCCATGTGTGCCAATCTAAACTATGCCAATCTAAGGGTTTTTTATGTTAATTTTAAATAGTTATTAGAAGCAGTTATTAGTTATCTTAGAAGCAATATAAGAATTCTCTCAGTTAGCATGCAGATAAAGAAATTATTTTAAATAAACGCGCAAAAAAGCCGGCAAATTAAGAAAAGGAACTTTATGCTATAAAAGTAGAGCAATTTATCTATTTTTTAAAATTGAGTAAGTATTTTAAAATTTTTTAATGTTCAGTGTAAAATGCATACAGCAGCAACATTGCCTCTTCCAAGTTATAGCTATCTTTCACACAGCTCATTTTAAAGTCTAGTTCTCCAAATTTAAAACGCTGGTTTCTATGACGTGAACTGCATCGCCGCGCTCAGTGGCTATGCCATCACTTCTCACTTCCTGTTTCAAAGGGAAAGCTTTATGAGCTAGCCCTTCTCTTCTAATTTCTCTGCCAAACCCACCTAACTATACGCGTAAAAGAGTCTTTAGGGCCTTGCTTCAGGGAAACGATCCTTCCCCCCCCCGGGGGTCGACGTAGAGAACTCTGCGAAGCTACTGGTTAGGATCTGTACCTAGGCAGTCTCGGCCACGGGGGTATAAAATTTATGAACTTGGTGGTTCTGAAGGCTCTGGGAAAGGTCACTTATTGACCGGCCCCGGAGTCTGGCACGTCCTAGCGCGGCGTGGTTCTAGTAACCCGGGGGTTTCCCCCGGGGTCGCTGGGTAATGTCCCGCTGCGACGGGCTCGCCCAAGCGACTGGTAGGAGCATTTGACGACTGGTGCTGCCTGGGGTGCGTCCCCAGGTGGTGCGCTGCTCTTCTGGAGGGTAATAGTGGAGGTTGAACCACCATGACGTGCCCAAAGGGAGAGTGGACCCGGAATGAGATTGAGTTCTCGAAACGGGGAATGCCCAAAACTTCTTCTCCTAACGATCCTTAAGTCAAGCAACGTCACCAATTTCGTATTTTTTTGTTCAGTTTCAACCGTTTTTATAAACAAGTAACCTCTTAAGGACCAGTGTCGGGAGAACGAAGCGCAGTCACGGGACTGGACCTTTTGAAAGGGATCGTTGCCACCGGCCCGCTCAATATCAGCAATTAAGCCTAATTTTACAAAAAAAAAATCGCATAAAATCAGCATTTTGATATTATGACTTCAATCTGGTCAATCTTGAAGTTGCGTATTTAATGTACCTGTTTTTAATGAGTATTAATATAAAGAATAT